CTGGGGTGGTCAAGGGGAGAAGAGAGGGGGGGGGGGCGTACACCGGGATCACCTATCGTACATGATCAGGATAGTAAAACTATATACTAGTAGAACGTTTTTTTTTGTATGTAGCGTCAAATGCCACAGACCCTTTTAGGCTGTTAAACGCATACTTTTCAAAAAACGTTGATCACTATTAGGAATCGAGATCGAATTTCCGATCCCATATTTGGCTATTCCAACTCGAGAACGCTCCATGTGACCGATCTTTTCAGGGGTCGTGGATCCAAGCAAAAGGAAACTCTGAGTTTACGTTTGGACCCCTTTTCTACATGATGGACCCATAAAAGCCCATACACTTTCAGAGCGACTTGCCGAAGATGTAGCGAGAAGACGATATGCTTAGCCACCCCTCCTTTTATTAGTTCGACTCGGTCGTTAAGAGCACATGATGGTGTTTGCCGAAAATTACCTTTCTAGAAGCTTATGTTAATAGTTCCAATCAAGACAACAAGGAAAACTCTCAAGCAAACATTGCAACAATGACACAATGTGTCGCTTCTATAACAGTTTATATGATCGCACAATGAACCATCATCGTCTGGGCGACTGTGCGTGCAGGTTAAACGTACAAACTGGGTAATAATTTTTGAAAGGTTGGGATGTTTTTTGTTGCGTGGCTGCTCAAAAAAGGTAACCTTTGACAAACATTTTCATGATTTGCAAACTGATCTCATAACAAACGCGTCACTCACGGAACGGATAAAAGTGTGGCCAACATTCATCAAGGCACCAATCCCCATGCTTCGTCCAGTGGGTCGTTGGCCTCTTCGCCCTTTCGTTGGTAAGTCTTTCACAGAGCGGTAAAGCTTTCGCAGGGCAGTTACCGGGGAACGTGTAAGACGTTAATGAGAAGCAGAAAGACGAATTTCAGAAGGGTTCCGTGCTTCTACTGCCGCATTTTCAAAACAGTTCTTCTACAGTCTCGAGTACAGCGTGCAGCGAGCGACGCCTTCTCGACTGAGTCAGTCCGATGACGTTGTGCTTGACTTTCCTAGCTTGCATCATCAGGTCCTCTAACATGCTACCGATGCAAGCGTCGATGTGTTGAAAGTACAGATAACCATCTTAGCCATTCTCCTGTTGAGCAGACTCTCCCGAGCGGTCCTACTCATCGCTGCCGTATTGGGAGCCCCTCAGGTTCAGGAGAATTAGGCCCATTCATATTACTGTCTTTGGCAAGTGGTTACCTAACGTGTAGCCTGCCAGGCTCTAAAGTGGGGGCTGGATTGACTCTGGGTGCTAGTCAGGCGGACCCGCAGTGGACTAGTAGCTTCCTTTTTAGAGCTGGCTCCGAATCGCCTTTCAGATACTTCCTAGTCGCACGAATGCAAGCCTTTAGCTGAGTCGATGGGCAGGATACCAACTGCACCTGCACGTTCTTTCCACATGGACGCGTGGATACACTGCGAGAAACAGAAGGTGTATGAACTGGCTTAGCAGAACGAGGGAGTCCATCTCCCTAAATTTCCTGCGTCTCTAGGCAAGTAATAGCGACTTCTGGTCGGCCGCTAGAATCCTTCAGTGAGAGAGAATCTTCAGTGAAGGAGATCCGTATAAATGGGTACGTAAACAACTTAGTCTCGCTAGATCGAATAATTCAATCACAGATTCGTAAGCCTTTTCCTTAACTAAAACGAGTTTATCAGTAATCCCTGAAGAATACCCAGTACGAGTCCGTTCACTCTTTCGCCTTCAAAAATTCGTTGTCATATATTATTCGTAATCAGTCATAAACTCGGAAGTGACTTTGGGAGATCTGCAGTGATGAGGTGTCGTAGTCATCACTAAGTTCTAAAAGGTGCCCATAACTGATTTGGCACTGAAGAGGCGAGCTGTATTGATCAGCACGAACGATTCGTGATGCATTCATTATCATTGCTTAATTATTATTGTTAGAACGACAGTTTTCTGACTGCTTTTATTCGATGTCATTTACATTTGAATAGCTTTCAACAGTTGTCCAACCCCTCCCGGAGCGGATAAAAGGGTGGCCAAAATTCATCAAGGCACCAAATTCCAATGCTTCGTCTAGTGGTCTTTGTCGGCGTCTTCGCCTTTTCCTTGGTAAGTCTTTCACAGAGCGGTGAAAGCTTCCGTAGGACAGTTACCTGGGAAAGCGTTAGACGTAAGTGAAAAGTAGAAATACGAATTTCAAAAGGGGTCCTTGCTTTGTTCAGCCTTCTGTTCTACAGGCAGCAGCTCCGAGACGGTTGACTCGAGGGATAGCTGGAGGAGAACACCAAGATGGAGAAGCACAGGTTACCATAGTAACCTACTTCAACTACGCACCAAGCATTAATTCTTTTCTCCTGGAAGTAGTCAAATCAAATGTAAGTAAACGTATAAGATGCAGCTACATAGTTTCTCCTTATTCTCCTGTGACACCTCTGAAACGGTGCCAACAACTCGTTCAGGTGGCGCAACTTGAGGAGAGCCATCATGTTTTCTACGACGCTCGGCTAATCGATGTGAAACCGAAGAACGTTGATGGACTGTTTGGTACCGTATATACCATCCATGGCGTGAATTGTGCTAAGGTACACACCGTACTATTCCTCTTGTGAAATACCCCAACCATAAGCGTTGATGATGCATGCATTACCAAAACGCTTATAACTACCCAGCATGATGACAGGTCAACGGGGTTGTTCTTGTTCCGCATGTAATCGGTAGAAATGCACTAGGGCAAACCAGTTGATCGCACCTACTACCGCTGAACTGATTTCTTGGTACTACGCGCTCGGCCTTTTGCGATCAGGGCTATGGGTCCGCGTAGGCAGAAATTCACTAAGCGCTGATACCTCTGCACTGTGAGTAGTGTACCATGTTTAGCTATGCTTATTGTTAGGTTTATAAGTCATTTTTTTCAGTTGGACAACTTCATCTCAGCAATCAAGGGGCTATCATCACTCACTAAGCAAGTCACTGTAACATGTGGCGGCAAAACAAAGAGTCTTCCGTAACTTGGCATATTGAGCAGATCAGTGAAATAAAACGTGCTTAAATACACATCTTACTATGTTGACATCTGAAACAATGGACGTGCATGTTCGAAGCCACGTTGAGGTTTTGGAAGTTTATTCTTTGCAAAAAAAAAACGGCACCGGAGAGTTCTGAACTTACCATCAGTAACGAAAGTTCGTAGATTCCCTTCGGATGATGCAGTGATTTCTATAATAAAACGTTATGCTGCCCCATCGTTTCACTATTTAAGCGCTGCGGGTGGGCGCAATGGTGTGTTACGAAGAAGCACCATAAGGTTTGCATTTTTCTTTATCTCTGGAGTGCAGATGCTGTGAAGCATACCTACTCCGTCTCGAAACGCCTCCTCGAGTGTCAAAGAGAATATATACAATAAATAAAAAATATATCACCAGGCGGCTATGCACGCTATCGCGCGCGCTAGGGGCCCTAGCCATGAGAAACGGAGCCACATGAACTGATTCCCGTTACAGACCTTAATCGGATTCATGAGTTTCCGCTCAAACCCCGCCCCCTTTTGGCGGAGTCTGGTCCTGCCAACCATCGTAAGTGTCCCATTCTGTCGCCTGTGCTCCTACCAAATTTGAACGCTCTAGGTCCGTAGGAACAGGATTTATGAGTTTCCGTTCAAACCCTGCCTATTGTGGGTGGAGTCTGGTTTCGCTACCAACCGTGAGTGTTCTCATCCTGCCGCCTATACTCCGTCTATCTCTCAATGTCCTAGGTCCACGGGGACAGGAGTTATGATTTTCCAAAATGTTTTTATATAGCACTGCATTTTTAGAGAACGCCCCTCCCATGGGGGGCGAGTCTCCCCAGTTCGATCTAACTTACCAATATACACATCTAGCCACCTTATACCCCAGTTCTGAAGCCGTCTTGTGACTGAATTTGAAAGCTTGGCCCTCAGAACAGCTCATTTCGATGCACGCCACGCCCACTGTGGGCAGGACTCCGCCAACCTAATGTATGCTTTATAATTCTCGAGACATGGCCCACCCATCCCACGCTTGACCCTGTCTCTCCAGGCAGATCCAAAGGAGCTAAGGAATTTCGTGACAGACATACAGACAGACAGA